AAACATGGACGAACCCACATGGACAGTCATGTATCAGCTTGCCAGTTTCGAATCTTCAAGCAGTATCAAGCTACCCCCAGAGCACAAATCGCCTATCTCTCACAGAAAGGTAGTCAGCCAGCGAAAATCTCATCCAGCCCATCAGGAAACCAGAGTTAGACCAATGACCGAAAAAGGTTATGCTCTAGCATGGAAGAAGTCGAAACAGCCCATATATGAAGGCAAGCAAACAAAACAGGCAATCCAACACTGACACGCGACATGTTTATACAATGCATGAAGGACAGATGTACAAACACAGGTCTGAGTGGCATTTGGAGCATGCGCAACATTCTGCAAGCTCTACGAATGAGCTGGAATTCGGACGATGGCTGGTCAACCAACATGGATGAGGCCATTTTCCTTTTAAAAAAAATGTGCCAGCGCAACCAAAGGCACCCGAGCACCGGGCAAAAGCATCCTGCCTGCGAGGTGGCCTCGCGATCGTTCGCCAGCGCCGCCTAGGCAACCCCGTTGGGAACCAAAAAAAGGCTCCGCTGGTCAATGGTCCTTTTAAGGCCAAGAACACAAAAATGGCTGTGCAACAAAAAATTGGGTAACCCCAAAATGGGTTGCCCTGGTAAATGGAACCAAGGGCTCAAACCTGCGGTCCAATTCCTGGTGGTTTGATTTTTGACCCACACCCAAATGTGAAAAGCAAAAGACACAGAGGCACTGGTGTTCGAGGGAAATCCACCCACCCACCCACCCCTTCACACAAACAAAAGTCCCATACGCGTGAGCTTGCTGGCGGTTCAACTGAGTGGTGGGACACTAGGTCATCTCACCACGTGTAAATTAGTGCTTAAAGAAATCCCCGAAGGAACTGACCGTCTGAGGGCTTCCCTGTTGCAACGTTTGGCAAAGGAGAATGAGGATTTCGCCCCACGCAAGCCCCAAAAATGCTTCCAAACACGTCTCAACTGTCTGCAAGACGACGGCCATCGAACCCTTCCCGGCCTGCGTAGCCCTGGACATCATGGTTGGCATCGGGAGCGAAGAGTTCGCCGTGCCGTTGGCATCCGTGCCGTTGCTGTCCGGGCTCTCGCGGGGGCTCTTGAAATCCGCGGGCAACTTCACCTCACGGCGAAGATCTCATCTGTCAGTTGCTGTCATCTGGCCCAAACCCCACCATGCCTCATGGCCTCATTGGGATGGCGTCTTTTTTCGAACACAAGAGTGCCTTTCCCTGGCGCGACGAACCTTCGGCGGGCTTGTTAGTTTGTCCAGCTCCATTCCCTCACCCTCCAGGCAGAGGGAGCCTTCTGCGGTCATTTGGAGTGCTGCCGGGCTGCAAAGGTGTCGTTGTCCTTCAGCTCCTAAGATCTCAAGAAATTAAACCCTGGCTCGGTGAACTTGGAAATGATCCCACCAATGCTTCACGGTCTAACGGGATCTAACTCATATTGTTTCATATGTGCTTTTTCCCCAAAGCGCAAAGTGAGAAGCAGCCACTGCGCCCAACCGCCGTCCCATCTCGGGGGAAGGTTTCTGGCATGGCCAAGCCCCGCGACACGCGAGGCTCCTTCAGGACTCAGCATGGATCAGCACTCGCTTTGGACAACTGAGACATGGCGTTCCGATTCACACGTTCCGATTCCACGGCTTCCTGCGGGGAGATCCTAACCCTCCAATATGCAAGATGAATGCAACTGAGCTGCCGTGCGGTTAATCACGCTGCGCACGATGACGCGCTCAGTCCTCGTATGCCAGAATGCGAGTTCGACGGCTGGAAAGCCGACGTCTTCACACCACCAAAATGCAGGCAAAAAGATAAAATTATGCTCGACCAGTCATTTTGTGTGGCTAGAAGATTGAAACTTGGCCATGAGTCAAGAGGGGCCGCTACAAATCTTGTGGGTTTGTTGGTTTACCGTTCAAAAACCATCCCTCTTGTTTTGACCCACAGCCAGCCCCCAATCTTGGCACCCAATCTTGCAAGCTCATACCCGCCTCACCAAATGGCTTTCTTACATAGGGGAACCCCCTGAAATTGTAGGCGTCCTGTCTTCCCTTCAAACAGCAAAAGGGAGTCGTTTTCCTTTCTGGATACCCTCAAATCAGCTTGCGGCAAAGCGTCTTGGCTCGCTTGGCCTCAGCCGAGCCCCGACCAAAACCCGGGGCTTGAGATCGTTCAGCTAAAGGGAAACTATCAACCAAGGTAGAGGTCTGCAAAGGTTAAAGGCAGCCAAAGTAAAGGCCTGCAAAGTCGGCGCCTCTATCTCAAGAAGCCCATCCGCACAAGCTGGAAATATGTACTCCCCCTGGCAAAAGGCATGCATAGGTGACCGCGGTTTATCGCCAGGTGAGTTCGTTCTTGTTTGGACCCATCACTGACAGCATCAGCTGCAAAAACGCGATCTGTAAAGATCTGCAAGAGCCCTGCCCAAACAGCCCTGAGGTAAACTGCATTACCCGAGGGTCTTCTAAACGGAAGATCACAATATCTGGTCGGTTGACCTTTGCTTTCCCAAACCAAACCGTTCCAAAGAAGTGCCCCGAGAACCACACACCCCACGCGGGTGTGTCTGTCTAAGAACTGTTCGGGTGCCATGTGTTGGCTCACTTCAAGCGAAGGCTGTTGGGAGGATCTCGTGAGACCGCTGTCGTGGTACAGTGCGGTTCCACCGGCCTCGTGCTCCAATCTGCAAATGATCTTCGGGGAAAGGACACAAAAAACAAGCCAAACACCGTTGAAGGACGACAGCAACAACCAAACGCTTACACTGCAGATGTTGCTGCAGTTCATCTGCAGTCCTCGCTCAAGCGGCGGCTTGCTGGGAGAAGTTGCAATTTTGATTAAGAATTCAGTACCCCCAAAGCAGGATGATGTCTTCTACGTTTTCGGTGACATCCATCTAACAGTGTGTCCCCTATCTTGGAACACCCCAGCATGACCTTGGCCAATCTACTCGCTCCCCCACAAGGGGGGAAGCCTTCCCAACGCAGTCAACATGTTGAAGATTAGCAGTCAGTATGTGTTCGAACGGGAAATATACGTCTATGTATATATATATATATACCTATATATATATATGTCTGAACGAAAACCTCCCCAGCTCAGTTTTAAAATATGTTGGCCAGGGGGAATGTTGCAGCCAATGGGCAGATGGGAATGTGCTTGTAGGTGAAGCAGTCGAAGTTGAAGTGACTGTAGTTGAGGTCGAGGGAGCTGAGGGATTTGTCGTGCTTGCTGTCATGGAGGTAGCGGCGGCTGTCGTGATCGCACCGGTTGCAGCGGGCATTGTGGTGCTTGCAGCCGCGGTTGATGCAGTGAAGGCCTGCAGATTCCCACGAGCAAAAAGCGAAAACGCCGGCCTGCAAGGCCTGCAACTTCCATGCCAAAAGCAAGCAACTCCAAACCTCCTGGTTCAGTTGCTGCTTGCAGGGACTGTCAAGTGTTTGCACGCTTACACGCCAAATGCCTACCAACTTGCCTGCTACCCCCGAGCCCGCCCTAAACCGGTGCCCCAGACTTGCCTATGCCAAGAGCGCATCCTAATACCGGTTACGTCCACTCCTTCGCAAGGACACCCCGTCAATAGGAGCACATACGCGGGTCCGCTGGTTCAGCGTGCGGTGGAAAAGAAACATCCAAGGCAGGACCAGGTCCAGTTGCCTGTTGTTTTTTTGCTTGGCCAAAACGGCACAGAGCGGCCATGCATGCTTCACAATGAAGGATGTCAAGGCTTGACAAAGTTTCTCGAGCACTTTGATGTGGCCTGGATCCTCCCGGGTCCGTGCCCACATAACCGGCTCGCAACGCACTCAGTCCCAAAGCACGCAGAAGAACTGGAGGATGTGAAGACAGAGTGGGTCTCATCACACATGCTGAGAAATTGTTCCTTTTGGATCTCAAAAAGTTCCATCCGACCAGTTGTCCTTTAGAGGCAACCCACTCTCGGAAAATGACGGATTTCGACTGCGTCCACGGAGCGCAGCGATTGCCAGACTCCATAGTAACCACGAAGGCATCGAGAACACTGCCATCAACTCAAGCTGGGCGACGCGCACATCACCGCAAGTCGAGGAACTGTAGCCACGCGTTGGCCATCTGGGCATGCCAGCAATCCTGACGAGTCTCGCGCTGCGTCTGACGGCCGCGAGAAACCACCAGAAAGCGGAGATTGAGTCGGCGCGCTCCTCGGGACGACAAGCGCTAAACCTTGCCCCAGCATCCGGAACTGAAGCCGCTGGACCCAGCACCAACGTACTGCACATCTGGCCACAGATCTTAGAGCTCAAGCAAGCAAGTAACCAAAAGCCCAAGACCAGAAAATCTGCGCGCAGACATTTGTTAGCAGCGGCGAACAGTGAGCCGACCTTGCGCGCTGAATCACCGTCACAACATGTGTTTTGCGCCGATCCGCAGCGGCCTGCAAGGTCATCGAAAGACAGCAACACAGGGAACAACGAACATCTGGCAAAACACGCCTGGAGCAATAGGCCAGTCGTGGGTGCTGGAGTTGGCGCCGGCCTCGCTTCCAATCAAGCAAAGCCAGCGTCTACCAAGGCCGAGTCCAAGTAGCGGACACCTACCTGTCCAACGCTACCAAGGCCAAGGTGCGCTGACCCCTGGCGGGCTGGCGGTGACGATCGCCTGGGTGTTGATATCACGCCAGGTCAGATCGCCTGCAGATGCCCTTTACAGTGGCTGGATGTCGGCGCTCATCGGAAGCGTTATGAGAATGAGCACAACCACGTGGCCCATGCCCGCTTGCGCATTGCTGGCGGGACAAGCTCCAGGCTGAAGAGTTCGCAAGCGCACAGGACCAACCAGGCCCAGCAACCTGCGTGGCTATTTAGCATAACCTGCGTGGCCATTTAGCAACACCAGAATGGCACAGCAGCAGGCATGCATGTGAAACAAAACAATGACACCTCACCAGGTCGCCCGAAGGATTCAAAACCAGCCAAATTTTGCCTAGATGGCTGCACGCCAAACTCGCAAACATGCGGAATTATTTGATTCCAGCGCTGGCCTGGTTCGTCTTAGCCTCCGTCCCAGTGGCCTCCGTGCTGTTCACCTCCGTGCTGTTGGCTTGCTTTCTGTTGGCCCTACTGGCTGTGCCATTGGCAGCCGTGCCATTGGCTGTTGTGCGGTTGGCCGCATCGGTGGCCGTGCTGGTGGGCTTTGTGCCATTGGCGGCCGTGCCGTTGGCCGTTGTGCGGTTGGCCTGCGTGCCATTGGCCTGCGTGCCGTCTGTGCCGTTGGCCTTTGTGCTGTTGGCCTCCGTGTTGATCGCCTTCGTGTCGTTGGCGGCCGTGCCGTTGGCCTGTGTGCTGTTGGCAGCATCAGTGGCCTGCGTGCCGTTGGCCTGCGTTGTTGGTGGCCTCCGTTGTGGCCTTCGTGTGTTGGCGGCCGTGCCGTTGGTCTTTGTGCCGTTGGCCGCATCAGTCTGCGTGCTTTTGTTGCCGTTGGCCTGCGCCGTGCCGTGCCGTTGTTGGTGGCCTCCGTGCTGGTGGCCTTCGTGCTGTTGGCGGCCGTGCCGTTGGTCTTTGTGCCGTTGGCCGCATCAGTGGTCTGCGTGCTTTTGGAGTCTGTGCCGTTGGCCTGCGTGCTGTTGGCCTGCGTGCCGTTGTTGGTGGCCTCCGTGCTGGTGGCCTTCGTGCTGTTGGCGGCCGTGCCGTTGGTCTTTGTGCCGTTGGCCGCATCAGTGGCCTGCGTGCTTTTGGAGGCTGTGCCGTTGGCCTGCGTGCCGTTGGCCTGCGTGCCGTTGTTGGTGGCCTCCGTGCTGGTGGCCTCCGTGCTGGTGGCCTTCGTGCTGTTGGCGGCTGTGCCGTTGGTCTTTGTGCCGTTGGCCGCATCAGTGGCCTGCGTGCTTTTGGAGGCTGTGCTGTTGGCCTGCGTGCCGTTGGCCTGCGTGCCGTTGGCCTGCGTGCCGTTGTTGGTGGCCTCCGTGCTGGTGGCCTTCGTGCTGTTGGCGGCCGTGCCGTTGGTCTTTGTGCCGTTGGCCGCATCAGTGGCCTGCGTGCTTTTGGAGGCTGTGCCGTTGGCCTGCGTGCCGTTGGCCTGCGTGCCGTTGTTGGTGGCCTCCGTGCTGGTGGCCTCCGTGCTGGTGGCCTTCGTGCTGTTGGCGGCTGTGCCGTTGGTCTTTGTGCCGTTGGCCGCATCAGTGGCCTGCGTGCTTTTGGAGGCTGTGCTGTTGGCCTGCGCCGTTGGCGTTGGCCTGCGTGCCGTTGTTGGTGGCCTCCGTGCTGGTGGCCTTCGTGCTGTTGGCGGCCGTGCCGTTGGTCTTTGTGCCGTTGGCCGCATCAGTGGTCTGCGTGCTTTTGGAGGCTGTGCCGTTGGCCTGCGTGCTGTTGGCCTGCGTGCCGTTGTTGGTGGCCTCCGTGCGTGTGGCCTCCGTGCTGTTGGCCTCTGTAGTGATGGCCTTTGTGGTGTTGCCCTCTGTACCATTGCTCTTCGTGCTGTTGGCCTCCACAGGCACACACATATGTACCCAGAGACAGACAGAGAGACAGAAACGCGGACGGACAGGACAAGACGAGACAGGAAAGAACTGGCCAGACAGACATGCAGAAATACTCGCCAAACACGCCAAAGAGGACAAATGTGCTTGCTGCTACAAGTAATATGCACATACATGTATCTATACATACCACATATACAGTACACATGCCCAAGAGGACATGCTGATAGAGAACCAACGCACAGCTTCAAACATGCCTCTGGCTTCTGCCGCAACTTCACGGGAGATGTCACCACCACATCTGGGACCTCAGCGGCGCGCACTGAATGTCTCGCAGGGCACAGACTCGAATGCTGCACTGTTAGGGATGGGATGTCATTCTTCTAGGGGTACCTTCCATTTCCATTCTTTCCGGGCATCCTTCTTTTCACATCAAAAACCCCGGGGAACCAGCCGGTTTTTGAAAAGAACGATGGTTGAAAAGAATGGTTGGAGTCAACCCCTAGAATTCTGGTTGGTTTGCTTCCCAAAACATGTTGCCCCGGGCCGCAAAGAAGCAGCAAGGAAAGTCCCACTGTAAGGGTCACAAGCTGCCGAGCCACTTCCGACGTCGTCACCTTCAACTCCTGCAATCCACTAAGCGGCGTAAGCCGACTGAGGCTCACCCCAAGTCGTATGCAACACGTGCAACACAAATGCCATGTGCGTGTTGCATTGGCCATCCGAAAAGGGACACCCAGGAAAGAAATCTATGTGAGAGATCACTCACTTGCCTGCCGAATTGTCTCGGCAATGGCCTTCTGCATCGACAACTGGATCAATCCTTGACACTCTCCTTTGCTTCCATGCCCTTTGAAACGTGAAAACCCAACTTTATGAATGCCTGTACCCCCCCCCCCCTACCCCCCCCCCCCCCCTAGTTAGGTCCTATCCTATGGGGGAAGGGATAGCAACATTTTCCCTAAGACTTCCCTGAACTAACAGGACCCTTGATACTTTACTTTGCGTCCAGAAAGAGAGATTCGAATTGTTTTTTCTGAAAGTGCTGCGTCCCCCTAAGCTTTCCGCAAACATGCTTCCCCAAGGAGACCGTACGGCTTTGTCTAGGGCTTCCCTAGGGCTTCCCTAGGGCTTCTCTAAGGTTTCCAGCTTCCCTAAGGCCTCCCTAAGGCCTCCCTAAGGCCTCCCTAAGGCCTCCCTAAGGCCTCCCTAAGGCCTCCCTAAGGCCTCCCTAAGGCCTCCCTAAGGCCTCCCTAAGGCCTCCCTAAGGCCTCCCTAAGGCTTCCCTAAGGCTTCCCTAAGGCTTCCCTAAGGCTTCCGTGAGGCTTCCGTGAGGCTTCCCAAGGCTTCTTTAACCTAATTTGCAGGTTCGGTATTTCTTGTCAGTGTTCCCGCCATGCGCAGGGCGAATGTCAGGCCAAGCTTCCCCAAACCTTCCGCAAGGCTTCCGCAAGGCTTCCTAAGCCTCCCCTGCAAGAGAAGCCCTTTAAGCTTAAAGGGGGGGGGGGGTAAAGGAGGGGGGGGGTACGGGCTCCATAACAGTTCAACTGAGCCCAATATCTTGCGGTTTACTAACCAACCCACGGACATCTTGACATATATCACCTCAACATGGAGATGCCTCAAACATATCATACGTAATGTGGTGACGTCCTAGCTGCTTCCACAAAGAAAAGATAATAGATCCACAGAACTGGAGGGGCTCGAATGATTGAGATCTTGCTTCAAGTTGAACTGTTCCAACTTTGTGGCCATGCTCATCAGCTTTCGCTGTGTCCCCGCCTGCTCCCGGGCAGGGCGCGTCGGCTCCACGATCTGCCCAAGAGACAGGACCAACCAAAAAACAACCCTACTGCTGCTACGCACATGCTCAGAGTTGCTCAGAGTTTAACACAGCAGAAGTGAGAACGAGCTGAATGGTTGGCCAAAGAATCACGTGGTTTTTCAACACAATCAAAACATGCAGGATTCCCCTCACCTGAACCAGGTATCAAAGCAGATCTTCCAGACTTCTGTGGAGCTCTGCTTGGGCAGCTGTCTCAAGTGATCTGGCCCAACCCAATATGCGGTGTTGCCTAAAAGGGATACGACCTCGTGGTTGACGTTCCATTCACCAAAAGCGTCCCCAATTCTCAGTATGGGAAACACCTGTCTGCCGATCAGGGAGCTGTCCAGGTTCCGAGATACTTGGACACTATCCCTTCTGGAAAGAGCATAGTCGACAGATTCACTTGGAGTCAGAATCAAAACCGATCGGTATGAGAATGATCGTAACCCCGGAGCCCATTTACTGCTGGGATTGTCCCTTACTGCCCTATGAGCCATAAAAATGGTCCAAGCCCAGAACTAGGGTTCAACAGGCGAGTATCCTTTCACTCATTTGGGGCAAGGGGCTTGTCCCTACGCTCCAACTACCCAGGTTTGAGTGTGACTCATGTGTGATTTAGTGAGTCCCTTTTTTGTTTATAGGGAAAAAACACCGGGCTCGTCCCGGACCGAGACATGTTGGTCGAAACTTGGGGCTTTGTCCCCCTCCATGTCCCTCCGAAACAAAGAAAAGCAACTTGGGGCTCAATCCCTCCATGTCCCTCCGAAGAAACAAAATGGCTTGACCCCACCCTATGCAACTCAGACATCATAGGCTTCCCAAAAGAAACAATCTCATGGTTCAGATCTCACGGAGGCTTCCGGTGGAGCTGAATTGGTGCCAGGATCTCTTTTGGTCTCCAAGCCCAAAATCATGGCAACCTCCAGCGCTACCCCATCACACCGACACGGTGTCAATGTCCTTGGAAGTATGGATCGAGAAGATGCGTCCAATCCGTGGTGCATGTCCCAAGTGCAGGTCAAAAAGCCAAAAAGCCGAATCTTCATGTCACATTCCGAAACAAGGTCTCTGGATTCTGGCTGGAACTTACCCCACACGGAATCTGAGAGGTTGCCTTGGACTTGACAAGGCAATTCCAGCGGGAGAAGACAACCTCCCAGCGCACAAAACACGAAGGGTGCCCTGGACCAAGCTGGCCACAGCCTCTCTCGCAATTGACGACACAGGTCGCCAGCTGAATGGTGGATTTGGGAATGGATCTCCAGTCAAGAAAATCATTTCAACCTTGACAGCTTGAGACCCAATGCCATAGCCCCCCAACATCAACATGATTCTGTCAGGAGAACAGGCAGTGAAAGAAGTCTTTGAGTGACCACCGCCTGATAGAAAAGGGGCTCATGGGCAGAAGATCAACCAAAAGGGGCTCATGGGTTAACACCTCGTTTCCAGTGCTCCATTCGAGCCCTCAGGTCAACGCACCCCGAAGCAAAAAAAAAAACCTTCCAGTGTGGGCCGCGGATTTGCCCAGAGATCCAAGCGCGCCCGCCTTGGGGGCGGGCGTGGTATGCAAGAAGCGCCCGAAGCCGGAGCGCCTGTTCGCCAGCGTGAGTCACAGGTTGACCCCTTCCTTCTCAGCTCCAAGTCGGGGTTCAAATATGGCCGTGGGTCAAAACCCAAATCGTACCCCCAGTGAACATCCCAATCCCCACTAAAAATAGGTTCTAAAATGGGTGGTGCACCTACCAACCAAAATGGGATCCCAAAACAGTTTTGACCCACAGCCATATCCAAGCGTGGGACTCTAGGCGATTCTTCAAAATTTTCCGGACGCTCAGCTGGCTTCCAGGCCTTTCTGGAACTGCGCGACGCCGAGCATCCTGGCGAGGGCGCCGAGCTGAACCAAAAACTTGGAGCGCAGAAACACAAGGCCAATCCTCCAGGGCCGTGAAATTGGTTACATGACTGAGACGAGCTATCACTGCTGGGACAGCTGCGATGGTCGGCTGGACAAATAAGTCACATGGATGTCACCGCTCGCCTGCTCGACTCGCTGAAGTCACAAATGTTCTATGTTCGGAATTCCGGAAGATGTGTGGACTCATGAACAAAACGGGATTGCCAGGTAAGGCACACTTGGAAGATCAACATCTCTGTCCACATTGAAATACTGAGAGTCGTGCATGTGCGACCCGAAAGGCCCCACAGGTGTCCCAGCCAACCAGCCCTGAGACCCTTTGCAACAGGACGCACTGCACCCACTGCCGAGCGGCCATCGTCATGGTCGCCAATGTCGCGGATCTCCTGCGATCAACTGAATCGATAGGATATCCACTCAGGGAACACGGTAGCGTGTTCTTCTCCTTTGCCGCGGATGTTTGTTCAGTCTGACTCTTGCTGACTTTGATCTTATTGCCCACACTTGCGACAGTAGCTTACTCCCTTCCGCAAATCTGGATCTCTCTGTACACCTACCCACTTCTGTGCCCTTCCTGCGAGCGCCCACCACTCCCACGATCTCGTCCCGCAGGTCATCCCTAGGTGCAAGATTGGCCCAAAAGTTGAAACCCTTGAATGAGATTAGCCCCCGAAAACAGTTCTGTTTAGCCACAATGCAGGCAGCAAATATAAATAAACAAATAAATAAATAAATAAACAAATAAACAAACAAAATAATAAACAAATAAAGAAATAAATACATATCCAGTTGTATATTACTATGTGCGTACCTATATATATATATATATATATGTACATGTATGCGTATAGTCCTAGACCGGAAAACCCACACGCCAAACTACCGGAAGGCTTTCCGCCGAGCCGCGCTCGGAAGGTGGACCTCTTGCACTGCTCGCCTGGGCGGGGGCTGGGGTGTTCTTCCCCTCCGATGGGCGGAGTCCCCACATTTCACCTGGCTGTGGTTGTCAAAAATGCGGTAACCCCAAAATGGGTTGCCTTGGTACATGGAACCAATGACTAAAACCTGCGGTTTTATTGGAGGTTTCATTTTGACCCATACCCACCTGGAAATGGACACGAACAAACAAAAGAACTGGGGTGGATGCATATGGGGTCAACAGTACCCGCAAAAATGGGCAGCTTTCCCTTGGTTCCCCTTGAACCCCCCCCCCCGCAGAACTGGCTTCAAAACAAAGGCAAACCTCCTCCACGTCTAGCGCTTGCCCCTTTTCGCTTCTTCAAGGAGCCCATCATTTTGAACCGCAACCCCCTTTGCCAGGAAGGGGCTGATGATGGACTTGTTGTTTCTCCGAGCCAATTGGCCTTGCCTTGGGGGTTGCTCACCTTGAAGCGCCAACATCCGAGTAGTTCCGTTGAAGCCATCCAAAACCACACAGGTGCACCACGTTCAGCCAGAATCAGAATACACAAAAAGGTTTCTCAACATAGCCCTTCCGACGAAAGCTCGGGGACCGCTGTCGCACTTTTTCCACCAGACCCGGCGTATCCAAGAGGCACCCGCGCGTTGCTCCCCGACTTCACACCGAGAGTGATTCAAAGCGAGAGCGCTTCGACGTTCCACGCAAACATCACAAAGGGTTCGTCGGCGACGTGAACAATTCGCACGGGAACTACCACGGCCCCAGAACTCGACGTTCCGGCCATGCACCCCCGCTAAGAACACGCAACTTTTGAGAGAAGTGCCTTCTGCACAAAAGAAGAAGCGAGACAGTGTTGAGATGTTCTGTGCAGCAGTGCTAGCCTTTTGAGCTAGAATGCGTCGCCTCGTTTTCGGGAAAGACATTCTAGCTGAAAAAGACCTCGTCAAGAGTACTAGCGCCGGGCAATGCCTCCTTCAAGCAGACGTATTTGGGCGTGGGTGGGTAAGCGCACCACCCATTTTTGTCTATCTTAGCGGGGATTTTGACCCATGGCCATTTGAATACTGGGCCATTGCGCTGGTTCCTCGCAATGACTGTTTCCTGTTCTGCTTTGGAAATCAAATCTAGCCCTCGGTCCGTCGGTACAATTGGGATGCGAGATGTGTGTATGCACGCGTGAAGGAGCATCAAAGGAGTATCAACAACAAGGAAACGATAGGTGGAATCTACGGGTAAACTGTGTGCTAAGCAACAGGCTCCGAACAGTTTGACAAACCTCAAGCAGGCAATGCTTTGGCGTTCCCCGATCTCATGCCCCTCTAGAACGTTAGTAGACGGAAAAGCACCAAAATGGAGCAAGCAGAGTTCCCCTCCCATCAAGTGAAGGGCTGAAAACCGGCGATCTGAACTCAGCTCGAAGGGAACTTGACCAAACTTTGTGGGAACCCCCCACTACACTGGGATGCCCTTCCAGTCTTGAGGTGAGGCGCTCAGTCGCGGGTGCAAGCTGTCCACATACATCTTCAGCCGTTCTGCGTACCTGACATGCCTCTTGATCTGCCCAGCCCTGCCACTGATATGGGGGGACGGGTCATCACTTTGGGCCCAATAAGACAGTCCAACAAGCACCATCCTCATGCAGGCCCCAAAAAGAAGTGTCTGGAAGACTTTGACCGTCAAAATATGCGAAAGTCCCCCGTGGCCATGAAAAAAACAGAGAGTAGCCCTGTTTTTGGCGGCAAATCTGGCGAGTCCCCATGTCCATCCCAACCTGACCATAGACCTGCTGGTCACCTGCAAACGTATTTAACCTCAGGCAGGCATTCTCCGTGGAGGGGACTGATACGTAAAAATGCCCGCCTTGTGCTAAAGGGGACTGAACAACATGTGGGCAGGTGTTCAAATTGGAGACCCAAAAAAAAGGTCAGAGTTCGCTTCTCAGCCTCCCAAATGAGGAGGCAAAGGGTACCCTCCACACACACACCATGCCATGCCATACCGTCAACCACTGGGTGGGTAGGTGTCAACATTGGGGGAGACAAGTCACAGTTATCCTTTCGGCCTCGAAGGGTACCCTTTACACAGCCCATGCCTGTGCCACCGGCTCAACCACGGCCGGGCTCGCTTGACACTGGCGGAGGACAGCCAGCTGAGACCCTGGTGGAGCTCGGACACCAGCAGGGTCACGTTCCTGGCGAGCGGCAGAAGCGGCGGCGGGCTTCGCTGCAAAGCGACGCAATCAGACTGGGGCCAAGGGCTTCGACCGAAACATCGAGGGAGATGCCGCAAACGAAATTCCGCCGGGCGGTTAAAGAAATTTAGATCTGGCCGTGCGACCTAAAAAAGGGAGCCAGATGACAGAAGCTGGGCTTATTCATCAGGGTGGAAAACCATCGATTCTGGTTCACTCCCACGCCGAGCAGCAAGATAAGGCATGCCGCGACAAGTGCAAGTGGCTGGAATCCTCTCCACGGATAGTGTCAGGATTCTGGTTGTCAAAAGACCAGGCCACCCCAGTGGTACCCATCAGCAGCGCTGGCTTGAGAGATAATATACCATCAGATTCAGACATGACCCCGCTGCTTCAAGAGCATGCATGGCTGCTCTTGAAAGGAGAAGTAGGAGACTCCTCTTCCTGCTGTCTTCTATTCCACCAGGTAATCATTATTAAAAGTCTGGGCTCCACAAACAGCCACCCCAGCTTTTCAGTTGGCAGAAAGGTCCGCTCATGGCCCTTGCACCGGATTGTCCTGGGCCCACAACTTGCCACACCCGAAAAGGGCGGCCCATCTTGACACACACACAGAACCAAACAAACAAGCAAACAAACAAAGATAATTCAATCAAACAAACAATCAAACAAACAAACAAACACTTTGTTGCACCTCGGCTGCTATGGAGTGAAGGTCCCTGAACGTGAAGTGTGAGTGGCGGCTTTTTGGTTTCGGGAGCCTGGCGTTTCATCCTCAACCTGTTTTTGAGACCCACAAGGCTCCAGCTTGTTTTTCCTTGTCACGCCAGAGACAATCTTTGTTTCTCATTGGCCCACGTTCATTCAGCTCAAGCCCGTCGTAAATCTCTGAGCCGGGGATCTTTGGCCAAGAAACATCAGATACCCTCTTCCACCTCCGACCCAAGATGTCTGAATGATTTCCACCCCGAAGCAGTGGAGACTTTGGGTTGGCATTGGACGGCCGGGCTGGGCGTGGTACAAAAGACTTGTATGTTCCGTTGCTTCCTCTTGAGTCACCAACATGTAGAATGACTTTGAACCCTGCCCTAGGTCATCATTTCGCTTCTGGGCCAATCATCTGAGCAAGTCAGAGCAGAAGCCAAGCAAAGTCGGATGAGCCGACTCCACGGAGGATTGTGCACCGCAAAGTATGCAATTTATCCTCATTTTCTATGATGGATATGTATAACATAGCCATGCCCAACATTTTGGAACCGGCCAGGTCTTGCATCGAAGCCATGCTGGCAACTTGCCAGAGGTTGTGCCACCTCTTCCCAACTCAACACAAAAAGGATCAGGGCCAGGGCCCTTCTTTTGGTCGATCTCTTGCTTCCTCACCCTGACGAGGATATGGCTGTGGGTCAAAAATAGGCACCTAAAATGGAACCCTGGTAAGATCAAACATGGACTAAAATCTGCGGTCCCCTGCTGATTTAATCTTGACTCATACCCATCTCTTGTTTCCTCACCCTGACGAGGATATCACGATATCACGACTGCCATCGGAGCCTGGAGTGCCCCAGCGTCCGCATGGAGATGTGCAGCCTGACGTCTCGCGATGTGAGACTTAGCTTTCTAAAGAGTGAAGCGACGAAGGTCTTTGTGCAAAAGAAGTTGTCTGGTCCAATTCACAGGGTGACAAGACCCTAAAGCGCAATGAAGCGGTGGCACGCATGCCACAGAAAACTGCCAGAGTACTGTTGGCAGTGAACACCCTGCATAGCGGTGCATGTCTGGAGAGATGTCCGCAAAAGCTGAAGCCCATTCCAGAGGAGTTGGCAGAGGCTCCGAAGTTGCCCAAACACTTCCAAGTGATCTGCAGGTTGAGATGCCGCGCCCCCATCCACTATTCTGTGCTCCATAGGAATAATGGTTGAAATGGAGGTTGCTTGACTTTGGTCTCCTTGTGCGTGGGAGGATATCGACTGCCAATAAACATCCAGCTGTCCTTCTGGTTTCGACGAAACATGGCAAAGGCTTGCCTTTTTCTCAAGGAGGACCACCCTGATTCTGCACTGCTCAACCAACCTCGGCGCCCACATCATCATTTCGTTGCGTTCAAAGTCAAAACATGTCCCCAAAAAGTGGTGGGACCCTTCCAAGTGTGCTTCTCGCTTCCTCTTAACTTGTGTTTGGACTCCACCAGAAACAGGTTCATCAAAGCTGCACTGGATGCAGGTGTTGCCAACCCCACCCACGCCAAAGGTCAAAGTGCCCTGAGGTTCTGAGGTTGGGCCTTTGCAATGCTGTGATCTGCTTTTGAGACCCCCCCCCTCACCCCCCGCCCCCCGCCCCCCTTGGAACTGGCGGCCTGGAACTGGCGCCGTTTTGAAACCGCGCCTCTGCACTCGCCGCTTGGCGGAGACGAGGTGGTTGAAGCCGCTGAGAAAGGCGATCTGCTTCCTCCTCTCGCTTTCCTCAGCGGGTATCCTCACGCATTTGGCCCCGGTGCCTCAACCCGCAGCTTGGCGCTTTCACCCAGTCACATATTTCAAGGGAAGCTGGGAGGGCGGTGGCAGAAAATTGCAGGCGCGAGTCCTTGCTTCCATTTGTTAGGGATCCATTGGGGTACCTATTTTGGACCCACAGCCGTCGCAAGCATGGAATCTGAAAGGAGTTCCCTTGATCTGTTTAGTTGCCATGGTGCCTTCAAAAAAAAGGATTCTCTTGCATGCATGCTCCCGGTTAGTTCGGGCAAAGTCCACACTTTGCTCCAACGAGATGCAGTTGGTATGATTTGCTATGGATGAATAAATATATATATATATTATGTATATATACATGTACATGTATGACAGTTGTTTGGTCTGGCAATTCCAAATCCAATAGAAGACGCAGTCACCCTGTAGCACCATTGCGCCCCTACAGCAATCCGACTGAAGAAGTCGGTCTTTGTTGCTTTCACCACAAAATGATTGTTTTTGCTTCGGGGTACCTTTTTTGGGGGTAATGAAGCAACCCAGCTTCCTTTGTTTGGTGCTGTCCCTCTGGATCTTGTGTGGTTGGGTACTCCGGAAGATGACAGAACGAACCCTTTTTGACAGGTTCTTTCCTCAGAAGGTCAACGGCCTCGGCCCCCTCTACTTGGCGGCCCAGTGTTTCTCTAACTTGGTCAATCCCACCCTATGAGGATTTGTTCCTCGAAAAACCGGTCTGACGCCGAGAAAGCGGGAAAAAAATCCTCCCAACCGGTCAAATCCCCCTCTAGAAACCCAATCAAATCCCTTCACTTCACAGGGAAACAAGCGAACATGCACCGACATGTCACCCTATCACCCATGTCGGTGCCGACTCGCTCACTCAAACAAACACCACACTTCAAGGCAAAACAAAACACAGTATCTCAAGCCAGCCAAAACCTGCTGGCTGACGCAGGCAATGCAAAGCGTTTACAATGACTAATTATCCGTTTAAAGAAGAGGTTTCCTAATACCACACAAGTGGGAACAAGCCCTGCGTTCTCACAACCCTCTGCTGCAGCTCTGTTTCCTTTTTGCCCCTTAGAATGCTGTTCGCTTGCAGAATCTACCACCGATTTTTTAAACACGGAAATACACCATTTCGGGGTCCCCAAAAGGAGAACCTCCGCCAGAAACCTATTTGGGTATGTTTTTTTTGAGGGCCCCAGGGTGGTGGTTCCTTTTGGTTCCCTTGGAAAACCAAAGTCATGGGTACCTCAACAAAACACAAAACTAATTGGGCATCCTCCAAAACAAAACATATATATATATATATATATATATATTCACACAGACACACAGACACACAGACACAGACACGCAGACACACAGACACACAGACACACAAACACAGCCATTTCACCTGGGCGACATGTCGCAAAACGCTTCAACCGAACCTTGGCCGCCGACCCAACGCTGAAGGCAATCCATGTAGTCGGCATCGTCCTGACGCATCCGCGTCAAAAAACGGCGTGGTGCTCGGAGATTCCAAGCAACCAGCTCTTCCATTTGCTTCAGACGCCAGCGAAAAAAGGCGATTCCCTTTGAAACCAAGAAGGGAAACTGAAAAACATGTTCATTGTCAGCACATGGAAGAGCTGTAACCTATGCGACAGGGCCCCCAAAGGGGTTGAGATTTCTCTGAAGGATCAAGAGGACTTGTGTTCTATCCGGAAGAAAAAGACCAGGGATCTATTTTTAAGGATGCCCATTTCTGGGTTGCGTTGAAGAGAAACCTGAAGGAAACCACGCATTTGGGGGGGTTCACACGCCATATGCCGAAAGCATGGTGTGCATCCTGGGAATGAATGTGCAAGAGCTTCTTGCTGCCGAACTCATCCAGGGGAAGGGCCCACAGAACAATTCATCCAACGTGAAAACCGATCACCGCCCTTTCAACCGATTTCTCAAGATCCTTGCAACAACCTCAACAGCCAAAGTTGGATTCTTCGTGTTCTTCAGAGAACGTTTGCTCTAGCTATTGTCTTTATGCAGTCCAAATGGATTTGGTACAAACATTGCGAATCTCCACACCTCATGAAGTCTTAGCTCCCATCCAGTATAGACGTGGGCAGTGAAGTAACACATGGCCGGAGAAGGAAATAGGCCCGTTTGGCCAGAAGCAACTCTCTGGGACACCCAAAGAGGATGAGCCCTTCAATGAAGGCTCACGGTGCTCAATCGCTGATGGCACCTGTAAACCAGCCTTGTGCGCAGCCGGACTTTCGCTGCTTCTGCTCTTGATTGGACTGCAACAGTGCACTCGGCTGTACCAAGGTGCAGCATTCAATAATCTAGCCACCAGCATGGAAAGCGCTGGTCATGTGCCACGAATTGAAAGCCAGAACTAATGTGGCAGCCGCTGCTCATTCTACCTGTTGCAGACCCATTCACACAATGCTGCACATCAACTTGTGCAACGCGATCATCACAATTCAGTCTGCGCCAAGCAAGCAGTGCATAATTCATCCGACCGCGCACCATTCTACGAATAGGCGACCTCTGCTTTGCAAAGCGCCTCACTGTGTACACAAGCGCAACTGTGCGGCTTAGCCGGCAGTCGCGTCTTCATCAACGACCCCAAATGCTTTCACAGGATGGCCCAGATCAACCTGGCAGAGATTCGATTGCATGCCCTTCGCGACTCATGCCAAGTCTTACGCATCGAATGACAATGCACAGCTTCTCACAAATCAGAACTTTGACATGAGGGAGCCCCCTGAAAGAAATACCACCATCATGGGCCAGCTTGCTTTCCCCGGTGAGCTCGCAATACCTTGCGCAGAAATCCATGCGCTGCATGTCGGGATGTGCCCTGGAAATGCAGGTGAGCCCGCATCAGAACTCCCAACAATGCGCGCCATCGTCAATTGAATCCGACTGAACGCTCGAAAAAAGACCAAGTCAATGGCTCCTGTTTCCCGGAGCAATCTGGTGAATCATGGCAAGCTGCTCGACTTCTCTCATGCTCTTTGAGGTGCCTGGATCCGAGCCCATGAAATGTAGCCGACACCCAAAACACACATGTGCTATGCCATGCTCAAAAGGTAAAGCTTGTGAAGCTTGCGCTCTAGGAATCGGTGAAGATAGTGTAAAGGCTCTATTCTGAGACCAGGGCAGGCAAGTTTCTGCAAAAACCGCCCATCTTTAAGTGAAAAGAACAATAGCAACTTGAATAAGTCGGCATCGCTGCTTCCGAAGTCCGTTGCCAGTTGAGTATGACATCTCTTCTTGAAGCTCCTGAACAGTTGCATGGCGAACTGGCTTCAACAGGCTTGAACCACTGGAAACAAGAGAAACACCACCCCCAAAGCGCGTCAGCCGGGTCAAGCGAAACATATTGTTTGGCTGGGTGTCACCATGTGTGGGGCTTGTGAGGATCTATGACGCCAGGCCCAACCTTGTGGTTGCGAGAGCGACCTCTCGACTGAGAATTGAACAAAGGGGCGGGGCACTTGTTGAGCCTTCAAGCTTGTGAAAAAGGCTGCGTCCAGTCACCCAACTCAACCAATTCAACCTGGGGACGTTCTGCTTTCTATATAAACGCGCTGATCTCCTTCCAGCTGTCATGCGGCGGGTCGCGCAAGTTCAATCAGGTTTGCATTGTTTTGGGTCACCTGATACTTCACTCCGTCGGAAACGAGTCCCGCCTCAACTGAAGCGGAGGCCAGGTCTGCTGCGAGCGCGCATCTCCCGGATGATCCTCGGGAAAGTGGTTCCCGGCTCCAGCGTGCAAGTTGCAACATGGAGTCCCTCATCGCCTCTCTCCAGAAAGAGTTTGCTGGAGTCCCCGTGGACCTTTTCCCAAGCCGGTCGGGCTAAGGTTTCACAACTTGGCCCTCAACCAGAAGGAATGAGGGGTGACAAATGAGGATCGACTAGCATCACCCCCTGGTTAAGACCAGGTTGACCAATCCGAGGATTCACCATGATCATCCCGCACAATGAGCAACCGCCATACGTTTGGCCACAACGGTGGTCATTCAAAATCCAAACATCCACCGTTAGCAAAAACCATGGGCATCACCAAAACTCGACATGGGAAAGGCCAGGTCTTGTGTTCAAAATGCTTTGTACAAAGACCTGCGGAAAAAGAAAAAATATGTGATCCTTCAAAAAGCTTCGCCAAGCCTTTCAGCCATGCCTTCAGGTTGGCTTAGCTCCGGAAGGTCCGTTCTGCCCCCATCAATTCGGAGATCAGGTTAATCCCTGATCAACAAACCAGCCCTTTCCTTCACAGACGACCTGTAAGGTCAGCACCACCCTGGTGATATCCAGGGTGAAGCAAGCAAAACACGTGAATGAAGCTTGACGGAAACAGAAGCTCGGACACCTGCAAAAACTAGGGGCCCACACAAATGGAGGGGGTGGTGTCCGTGCCGCTTTGAACCGAACCAACTTGTGTTGACACGTACCCGTCTGGTGGCTTGCAAGAACAGAGGCCCCTTTTGATGTAATCTTGCGCGGCCCATTTTGTTCAGTGCGGTAGGACCTAGATGGGGTCAAGACAAAACTTGTAAACGCCAGAGGCTGCCTATCTAGTGGTAAGAGAAACCAATGAAAACCACCTGGGTTTGTTTGCGCTTTGCCTCACTTTTCTCTCCCTGCTCAAGCATTTTGAGCCGAGTGGCTGGGTCTTGAGCTGACCCAGGTCCTTAACCGTGGCCACATTGGAGCCCCGCAGCGTGATCACCTCCTACAGGCAGGGGGATTCCAATTCAGACCCTGGGCCCTGGAGCCGGCGCCCCCAGAAGCTCCTCCAGGAACTCCGCGATGTTCATCTCCGCGTCCCCGGCGAAGATGATGTCCTTACGTTGGCAACTCTCGTGGGCGGTTGCGGGTCGGCGGACATTTGCGGGGACTGACATATGGCCATGGGTCAAAAGCCAAATCGTACCCCCAGTGAACATCCCAATCCCCACTAAATAGGCTCTACAATGGCTGGTGAATTCACCTACCAACCAAAATGGGATCCAAAAACGGTTTTGACCCACAGCCATATGAGGCCGCGCATGGGGGGAACAGCTCCCTTTCTGGAACAACCAACCATCAATCGTTTCTGACTGCTGCCCATATTCTCTGATATTCCCGCAAGAAAGAAACACAGCCGAGATGGCTTCAAAAGGCTGGAGGTTGTAAGGCGGAAGGGGGCTGGAGGATGGAGAATGAAGGGGAATGAAGGCTTCAGAGCCCAAACGGTAGGCCATTTGGAACATGTCCGTTCTGATAGCATCCAACAAACAGGTTGCGAGGTGTCCAGTTGTTGATATGGTTGGCGCCACAGTAAGGGAGCCGCAGGAGAGTGGCAAGAACCAGCGCGTGGCATGCCGATCTCGGCGCAGACAGCCACCAGACTTTCTCAACCCTTCTGGCCCTTTCTCTTCTCACCCTCGTCGCTGAAAGGTAAAACGGCACGGGAAACAAAGATGAATAAAACTGAGGGGTTACAGGAGACCCGGCCCGCTTTAGCCTGGGGCAAGCTTCTGGGTCTCGCAGCAGCACGACGATGTCAATGCTGGCCTCGGCTTCCCTTTTTCAGGAAAGAAGCGTCGACCGGTCTGGGTGAGTGCCGTTCAGCTTCGCGCCCGCCAATTACGGGGTGCCCAAGCCACTGAGAGTGTCCGCCAACACAGCTTTATGCAATGCACCCTCTGCCTGAACCGTGCCTTCCCCAAATGTTCCCTTAGAGTACACTACAGCAGTTCCTGATCATCAGTTCTAGTCTCATGGAAAAACCTTCCCTTTGGCCGGCACACCGCATGTTGCCCCTCTTTGCGGCTTCTCCGCGCTTTGCGCGCGAAACGCGGTTGGTTTACCCCGCGCCTCCACGAAGACGTTGACCAGATCCAGGCGGCCCGAGAGCGTCATAAACTCTGCGGGGGTGATGGCGTCGTGCTTCTGGCGTTCCAACTGCTCAATGGCCTCGCAGCTCACGTGCCAAAGCCCCAAACAAGGTTCCCGACCATATCGTTGCAAGGTGTCCCCTGTTGCGAGCGGGAAAAGGGAGGAGTCAGGGTACCAGGCTGGGCGAGGATTGGGTGGGTGATGTTCCCATGAGCTTTGCGCATCGTTCTCTTGGGTGGGGCCCGCAGAGCGCAGAAACGCATTTCGACGCATCCAGTGGAATTTCAGAATTAAGGCCGCCATGATCATGCCCAACTCCAAACTCCAGCCGGGGAATGTCATGACTCCCTCGAGAACCAAGCACGACGCCTCCTGCAGGCTCTCGAACAATGCTTTCCGGGTCATGGCATCCTGCTCCGCGGCCGCAACGATGCCCACCACCTCGACCAGCACCCCCACAATCATATTCATTACCTCAGACCCACGGCAGCCCGGCGACTTCTTGGCTCATGGGGAAGTCTTGGCCGTGCGACTGGTGATTTCCAACATCTTGCAGCACTTGCCAGTCTTTGGGTAAACGCGCTCTTGCTTCCTGTTCGACG